GCCAGCCCCTGGGTTTGCCCTCGGGGTCCCGCCGGCTGCCCCCTCCCCTGGCGATGGAGCCCAGGGAGGGGGTTCAGGGCGGCCGGGGCTGGGGACAGTGCTGGGCTGCCTCCCGCACCAGCCGGTCCTCACGGGGCGTCCACGGCCGGGCATAGCCGTTGTCCTGCAGCAGGATGCGGTTGAGCGTGCGCTCGTAGTTGACGTGCCGCCGTGCCATGAGCAGGTACTCGCCGCCCTCCTGGAGCCGGGGGCAACCGCAGATGTTGGGGACCCACACGTATTCCCGGGACACCAGCGGGAAGCGGTGCCGATACGGCGTTTTCACCTCCACCTCGTAGCGCGTCTCTTGCCCCACTAAGCGCTGCGCCAGGATCCGGCCCTGGAAGACTGAGGGGCGAGCGTGGGGCACCCTGAGCTGGGCACTTTCCCCGGCATCACCCCGAGCCCCTTCCCGTCCCCGGCGCTCACCGAAGTCACTCTGGCAGAAGTGCCAGATGCGCTGGGAACGTCCCTTGGGTGGGCGGCACCTCCCGCATCGCTCTGCGGGGGCAAAGCTGTAGCAGTTTAGGGGGGGAGAGGAGACACTGCACCCCCAAAACCCCCTCCTGCAGCAGCAGGAGGGGGAATGGGGTTCTATACCCCATAAGGAGAGAGGGGACACGCCGGCCTCCCGAGGGTCCTGGGGAGGGTTTAGTCAGGGGGCCCTTTTTTAGGGTGCCCATCTCATGGAGAACCCCTGGGGGTCTCCAGGACCCTCCCCACAGCAGAGACCCCAGGGTTACGGGGGGGCTGTTGGGACCCCCACAGGGGAGCAGGCACCTGCGGCAGCCCGGGCCACGCTCCAGCTGGGGGGGCTTCTCGGCGGCGGCTCCGTGACAGAGCCCCTGGGCTTGGTCGGTGGTGCCGGGGCCGGGGTGACCACGGGCTCCGGGGGTGGGGGGCTGCCGGCCCCCCGGGGCTGGGTCTGCCGCAGGGGGCTGGTGTTGACATGGCCAGGCTGGGGGTGCCCACGGGGCAGCCAGAACTCGTACTCAATGCCAGGGTTGGGCTCCTGCAGCAGGACCTGCGTGGGCAAGGGCAGAGCTAAGAGGAGCGATGGGGGCTGGGGGCCAGTTGCCCCCATCCCCGTACCACCCCTGCCCTCACCATCACATGCAGATCCTTGTCGGTGGGCCCGGGCGCCTCCAGGGTCTCGGTGCCATCGGGGTCCCGGGCATAGTGCAGCTGGGTGCCGGCCACCTCGTATGGTCCCGGCCAGGCAATGGACCAGTCCCCGTTGAGCACGTAGCGCCCATCGCTTGTCATCAGGGCTGCGGGAAGGAGCACGTCCAGGGGCCGAGCACTGCATGGTCCCCGGGACCCCCGTGCTGGGCTGGGCTGGGGGCAGCCCAGATGCCTGGGTCCCCACCGGAGGCCTCTCCCCAAGCAGGGAGGGCAGCGTGGGCTGGGAGAGCTGCGGTCGGGGCTCAGGAGAAATCTGCTTTCTTGTAAGAACTTGGCTTCGGTCCCAAGCCGGAGCCAAACCCTGGTGTGCAAACCCCCCCCCCGCAAGCCCTGGCGCTGGAAGGGAACAGGGCCCCGACTGGATCAGGAGGAGGACTGGGGGGTCTGGGGACAGGGGACCTGGTCCTGGTCCTGCGCTGCCTGGCCTGGCCCCGCTCCAGCTCAGCCCTTCCCAAAACCCACGGCCGCAGCCTCTGGAAAATTGCCCCGAGCGCCGGCAAGTTCACTGAACCCGTGATGCTCAAAACAGCATCTGAGGGGGGGAACCGGCACGGCACGGCACAGCCACCCCTTGCCCTGCCCTGCCTGCACCCATGGGTGGCACCAACCAGGACCAACTGGGATGGACTGGGACGGAGACAGGACACGTCCTACCGAGGTAGTTGCGGCTCTTGTCCGTCACCTTGATATGGGTGGCCCCAGCTGGGATCTTGGTCACATTCATGTACCCAAAATAACCTGGCAGGGAGGGCACAGTCAGGGCAGAGCCAGGGCACAGCCCGAGGGGACAGCCCGTGGACAGGGGGGGACAGGGCTGGGGTGGGAGGGGACCGGGCACAGAGGAGCTCTGGGTCTGGTGCAGCCCCAGCCCCAGCCCAGGAACCAGCGACATGAACCCAGACTGGTCCAACATGCTGGGACATCTGGGGCACCCGATGATGGCCCTGGGGTGCCATCCAGGGCTGTCTGCCCTCACAGGCATCATCGTCCCTACAGCCTGGCCAGACACCCCATGGACATTGGATACGGACGCACGGACCCTGGGTGCCCCCAGGGACCCCTGAACAGCCCTGGGGACGCCATGGATTGTGCCCCAGAGACCCCCCACCCACCCTCTGGAGGAGCGATACCCTCTGCAACGAGACAAAATCACCCCGGTGAGGGTGATCCTCCAAGCCCGCTGTCCCTGTCCCTAAGTGTTGGGGACAGGAAGGGATCAGGGACGATGCCCCAACGGCAATGAGGGAGAGGGGACGGGGGGACGGGGGACCCAGGCGACACCTTGGGAACACAGATGGGGGACGGGAGGACAGGGGAGCCAAGAGCCAAAGCATTCACCCATGGAGGGGGCCGGGGCAATGGTTCATTCACCGGAGGAGGGGTCCGTGCCCTGGAAGAGCCGGTGCACGAAGAGACACGTGTCGTGGCCGCCGCCGCACTGGCCGCAGGCGTCGGGCTGTGTGCCCGAGCCCAGGATCCCATCGCAGCCCACGCTCTGCGGGGAGCCGAGACACAGCCTCAGGGTGGGGGGTCAGGGCTGGGGGTCCCGGGGGTCCCGGGGATCCCGGCCCTACGCACACCCACCAGGCAGCGCCCGCCAACGCAGAGGTCCGGGGAGCCGGGGCTGCAGCGGGTGCCGTCCAACACCCGGCCGAAGGTGTAGTAGAAGTTGTGCCCCATGGCCAGGCAGTTGAGGTCACAGACGTTGGGGGCTGCCGGAGCCAGGAGGGAAGGGAAAGGGGTGACGCCGGTGGCAGCCATGGCCCCCGGTCAACCCGGTGATGCCGCCCGCCATCTCAGGACTCACCTCCATGGAAGGGCACCCAGCGGTACCGGGCTTGCGTGCCCAGGACGGGCTTGTTGTCGTAGAGAGAGCACTGCATGGCACGGAAGGGCACCGAGCCGCCGGGGCAGCCCTGCGGGAGCAGCAGGATGGAGCCCCTGCGGGATGGGGGGGACGGAGCCCTGCGGGGCCGGGACCAGGGCCAGCCATGCCGTGCCACGACCCTCGCACGCTCACCTGGAGCTGGCAGAGCCGGTACTGCCGCGGGTCACCCGTGCACGGCTCCTCCTCGGTGGACCTACGGCCACAGCGTCAGCGCGGCGGGGACGGAGCACGGCCTCCCCGAGCAGCCCTGCCTGCACCCTGCGTCCCCCACAGGGACATTCCCCATCTCCGGGGCCAGGATGCCGCCGAGCCACCGAGCTGCAGCCGGGTGGGAAGTGACGCATCCCCATGAGGCAGTGGGAGCAGGGACCACGATGTCCCGCATGGGGCCACATCCTGCTGGAGCTGCACCCCAGGATGGATGCGGCAGGGTCCAGCTCCCCCCCTGCCCTCCCCGATCCCTTCCCCTCCAAAATCAGGCTGAAATTTAGCCAGGGCGTAGCGCGGTGCCGAGGGCTCGCAGGGACAGTGAGGAGTCAGCGACAGAGCAGTGTCATGGGGTGTGGGGTGCTGCGGGGGGTGTGGAGGAGTGGGGACACCCCAGGGGGGTCATGCTGCCCCGTCCCCCACTCACCGCAGGCACCTCCGGGTGCGGAGGGCGACGCCGTCCCCACAGGAGCTGGAGCAGGAGCTCCAGGGTCCCCAGGACCCCCAGGTGCCCCGGGCCGGCTGCCGGCGGGGCCGAGCAGGGGCTGGGGGCTCGGGGACCTGCGCCGGTGTCCCCAGGGCTGGGCCCTGCGTGGAGGAAGGTGACGGTCAGCGCCGGGGCTGGGCTCGAGCGGCCTGGGGGTCCCGCCGCGCACCCCAAACCCCTCACCTGCGCTGTGCCGCCGGCGCAGCCCAGGCTAAGCCAGGCCAGGAGCAGCAGCCACCATGGTTGCCGGCACCTGCGGGAGCAGGGAGCGCTGAGCCCCACCGTCCCCAGGGACCGGGGCGGCCGGCAGCGGGGTGTCCCACATCCCGGCATCGGCGCTGCCGAGGCGGGACGGCCACCGCCGTGTCCCCCGCAGGGACCCCAGCAAGGGGGACGGAAGCGAGACGGAGGCAAGACGAGACACAGCGGGGAGGGTCCCCACCACCGGCGGCACCAGCCGGGGATGTGGGGGTCTGGTGCCACGCGGCCACACCGGAGTCTCGGACCCCGAGCAAGGCCAGGTGGGTGGGCGCAGCCGAGCAGGCGACGCCGCATCCCGCACATGTGCCCCACGCGGCGGCGGGCACGGGAGACGACACC